ACTGCAAAATAGCGTTTTACTGGATAAAAAATACATAGAAAACATATTCCTGATAGTCCAGGCAAATAAGCCATGAAAAGGGCTATAGCCTGCAAAAATCCCGGGTAGCAATGTTTTCATCGATTTCTATGTAATTTTTGACGCTGAATCCGAATTTCAACTTTGCGCCATTAAATTCGGACCGGAAAGTTGCCAAATTTGGCAAAAATGGCCTAAAATCGGACTTTTTTCCGGATTATGGCCTGTAACTTGCCAAAAATTGATCTGACGATAAAATTAGTTATTTTCAGAAACAAAGCTCGTTAAATTTCCTATAAAAAAGTTCCTACACACTCTTTTGCTGAAGGCAAAATCAAGCGCGCTGGCGGGCTCCAAACTTCGAAAAATGAGCGAAAATTTGGTTATTTGCGGGTTATGGCCTGTGACTCGTCCAAAATTGATCTAACGACAATTTGGTTGTTTTAAAAAAAAAAGTTCGTTAAAGTTCCCGTAAAAAAGTTCCCATAAACTTTTTTGCTCAAGGCAAAATTAAGCGCGCTGGCGGGCACCGAACTTTGAAAAATGAACGAAAATTGCGTTTTTTGCGGTTTTTGCAAAAATCCCGGGTAGTTATGCTCTCAGAGAACCCCACGTAATTTGTGACGCTGAATCCGGATTTCAACTTTTCACCATTAAATTCGGACCGGAAAGTTGCCAAATTTGGCTAAAATGGCCTAAAATCGGCCTTTTTTCTGGATTATGACCTGCAACTTGCTAAAAATGAGCCTGTTGCAAACTTTTGCTAGAGCAAAACTAAGAGTTGTTTCCTGCAGATAATGCCTCAAAAATCACGATGAGCGCATCGGCAAAGTCTGAAATGCACTCATAACTTCACAATCTGCGTAAGAAATTTGCGGTTTTTTGAGCTTCCCGCTTCGAAAACGATACTACGGTACAGGTGAACATTTTGTTAGAGGAGTCCTTCCATTGGCGACAATACTCATCATGGCCGACGCCAGTCCGCCAAAACACGTGTGATGGGACGAGATAACACCTGAACAGGATCAAACGATGTAAGAATCGGCGTGTTTACTTTCATATTTTCCTCGCCCGCCTTAATTGACCTTGAACTCTCCTCGAATTAAGCGAGGAACTGCGCAAGCGTCGGCTATGATGAATATTGCCGACGATGGAGCGACTCCTCTAACAAAATGTTCACCTGTGCCGTAGTAGCGTTTTTGAAGCGGGAAGCTTAAAAAAACGCAAATTTCTTACGCAGATTGTGAAGTTATGAGTGCATTTCAGACTTTGCCGATGCGCTCATCGTGATTTTTGAGGCATTATCTATAGGAAACAACTCTTCATTCTGCTCTAGCAAAAGTTTGCAACAGGCCCATTGATCTGACGATAAAATTAGTTATTTTCAGAAATAAAGCTCGTTAAATTTCCTGTAAAAGAGTTCCTATACACTTTTTTGCTCAATGCAAAATCAAGCGGGCTGGCGGGCTCCGAACTTTGAAAAATGAGCAAAAATTGTGTTTTTCGCGGTTTTTCCCGATGTCTCCTGTTTTAATCGTCCGACGAGTAATTTCTGGACAAATTAAGTGAAGATGATAAAATTTACACTGAGTGAAATGAGTTGATGTAAATAATAGGGATAACCCAACACATTACAGTAAGCGCAATTTTCGCACATTTTACAAAGTTCGGAGCCCGCCAGCGCGCTTGATTTTGCCTTGAGCAAAAAAGTGTGTAGGAACTTTTTTATAGGAAATTTAACGAGCTTTGTTTCTGAAAATAACTAATTTTATCGTCAGATCAATTTTTGGCAAGTTACAGGCCATAATCCGGAAAAAAGTCTGATTTTAGGCCATTTTTGCCAAATTTGGCAACTTTCCGGTCCGAATTTAATGGCGCAAAGTTGAAATTCGGATTCAGCGTCAAAAATTACATAGGAAACGATGAAAACATTGCTACCCGGGATTTTTGCAGGCTCTTTTCCTTGTTTGCCTGGACTATGAAGGTTTTTTGCAAAATCTCAGGTAAAATTGAGTGGAGCGGTTGCGTGAAATGCACCGCCACGGAAAATGCCCTTGGAGACCGTAACTTTGGCAACGCCGTGGAGCCGCCTTGTTACGCCCTATGGCAAAGTCTGATACACGAAATTGTAGCATTTTGAATCTACTTTCATTTCGGCTGATACACTTACCTTCAAAAATTGCTGGAAAAAAATGTTACAAGCAAAAAAACCTTAAAAAATGAAATTTTGAACATTTTGGGATTTTTTTTAGCAACCTTGTAGTGGGCATATTATTTATCAGAAAAATTTCGGACCGGGTGGAAAATGTCCGTAATTTTATCTACTTTAAGGCAAGTTCTTACACAGTTACTCGAAAAATGAGCGGTTTTAGCGATATTAGCCGAAAAACGAGAGAAAATCGCCGATTTTTGGCCGTTTTTTTTCGATTTTGGGGAGGTTCCCATACAGTGCCGATGTCGCAAATTTAGATTCTCGTTAAGGACCCTCTATGGATGAGAAATCAGGTGAGGAAAAAATTTCCGCTCTTAAAATTGCATAAAATCCCCATATGACTGGACTAATACGTCGCGAAAAGGTACTTAAAAAGTACTTAATTTTTCCCCAAGGCGAGGTACTTAAATTTCTCCTTAAGTACCTAAAAAGTACTTATTTTATTTTTGTGGACCTCAGTAGACACCCTGTTAAAGCAGCGTATTATTTTCTTCATTCTGATGTCAGGGTCGTACTTTTTCTGAAAAAATACCTCTCCTGGTAATTACAATGGGCCAGTTCGGCTGGTGAGGGATTCGCTTTAAAGCTATTGCATCTAAGGTAAAATTTTACGAGAAGCACGATGAGCATGTTAAACATTTTTGAAACAAATTCCTAAGGGGAGAAATAACGATTTTAAAATCGTACCCCTTGAAAACGCTATTTGAATCCGGGCTGTTGGCGCGAGGTAAGAGCTGACTCCACACGGTAGGTTACCCTTGGTTTCTCTCGAGTTGTGTAAGTCCGAACAATATGGCTGCCGCCTGGTTTGTTTATTTAGCTAATGTTTCTATTTGTGACACTATATTAGTGGGGTCGCTTAGGGTCAAATATCACCAAAATATTTCAAATTAGGCTACCAGCATGAAACTTGGTGAAAATATAGTTCAAGGTACCTAGAATCGAAATCCATCGGGATCCAAGCTGGATCTCCCATGGTTCCCCGTACTTTGGCCGCCATAAACTGATTTCCATTATTATCTCATTTTTCAGGCGTTCTAACTAACCCATGAACATGAAATTGGCAGGAATATACTTGAGTGTGTCTAGAATGAGGAAAAATTGACATTTAAGTCCAGTCGGCCATTGAACCTTGCTATTGGCCGCCATTTCGAAAATTAGCGGTTTAGCGCTGTCTCTCCGCTGTTTATCAGATTTTCGCGGCTGGGTTGCAATGAGATAAATGAAATTTGGCAAGAATATGCATAAACATGTTGAGAACAAAAATCTATCGAGACCCAAATTCAGTCGGCCATCTTTTTCCTGGCTAATGGCCGCTATTTGGAAAATAACAGCCCAGTCCTGCTCCTCCGCGGTTTCTCAGATTTGCGCGGCTGTTTTGCACCTGGACGCGTGAATTTTGGCAGGAATATCCATGAGTGTGTTGAAAGTAGAAATTCATCGAGACCCAAGTTTGGTCAGCCATTTTACCGCCGAACTTGACCACCATCTTGGAAAAAAGCTAATTGCCCTGTTCCTCCGAGGTTTGTCAGATTTTCGTGGCTGTTTTGAAGCTAGACGCGTAAAATTTGGCAGGTACACCCACAATTAAGTTGGGAATAAAAAAACGTCAATACCCTAGCTCCGCCGTCCCTTCACCTTTGTTATCAACTGCCATTTTTGGAAATAGCGTACCATTTACTCAACTCTAGCTGACCGACCCCATTTCTGTATGTATTTCCGATTTTCGCGGCAAAGTTACCGCCAGAATGATGAAATGATGAAAGTTTACCAACTGACAATGTGAAATATGTTCTTCCATACGCCATTTCCTATTTCCTCGAGCATAAGGCCAATATATTGTAAAATAATGATGAACCAACTGCAAACGTGCAAGGTTTAACTTGCAGGCCATCTCTCTTTGCACATATGATGGGCAGTGTGATCCAAAATGAATTCTGAAATCTATCTAAAACAAATCTCTTTCCTAAATTAACCCAAGATGTAAGAGTTTGATACGCGTTTTTACATTTTGTTAGATGAAGAATATTGTTTTAAGTGCGCGAAACAGAAAGTATGAAAATGTCAATTATATTTTTGGCTAATTTTGGCGCAAACCAAAAGAGTAGTTGCAGCAGCCAGAAGTCTGCCCGAGGCTCGAACTCTGACGCTCACGCGGCTACGCTCATCGTCACCGAGCCGGATGGTCTTTATCACTGTGAGAGTCGGAGTGCGAGCCTCAGGTATGGGTAGCGGGGAAGCGGAGAGCGGCCAGAGTGGACTGGAAGGGAAGAGCACAAGAAGCACGGCACAATGGTCCGGCCAGCGAAACCTGCAGAATTATGTGTAAAGCGAGGACTTTGACCCCCGTATCTTGAAAACAGCTCATATACTCAATCTGAAATTTTAGTATATGTATAATGTCATCCTAAAGATGAAAAATAACCTCACATGGACCCCAATTTTGAAGGCCCAATGATGGGCAAAATATGCATGGCTCTTTGAAATTCAGCCAGTGTATGTTGCCACTTTTTGTCATGCATTTCCTAGATTATCGCAGAAGACTGTAGTGTGGCACCACAATATATAGCACATTGCACTGTGGTCAAGTGATACTTTGAAATTTTTGAATGTTGCTCCTGTATATTTTTATTTTTGCCTTGTCTTGCTACTGAGAATTTTCCATCAACTTCATGTTGAATGGTACCCTCTCTGTCTCTGACCAATGGTCCATATATTTTCCTTATTATTTTAAACTAACAGCATCTCTTTCTTTTCTGCTTACGAATAGCATTATGGAGCTTGAACGCACTTTACATTTCTCCAAAAAGAAAATGCAAAAACTAGCAAAAAGTTTGAAATTGGAAGATCGGCAAGAATCTGAAATGAAGGATCGGCGGGAGGCTTTTGTACATGAAGATGCCAAAACGAAATTGAATAGACTTTTATTAGAGCAGGTTTGTACGCTACTTTGCCTCTTACTGAAAAAATGCCAAAAATGCATGTAAAGAGTGATCAAAAAGTCCTGTGACTCCCCTCTGATCCCTAGGGTTTGTAGCCCATTTCAAGGTGATCCCTTTACAATTTTGGGGGGCTCCAACATTTGTTCCTTTTGACCTAGGAGCACTCTCAATTTTTTGAGTCATAGTATTTCGAGTATTAAATTGATTCTTTTTAGCTCAGTACTTACTAATGTGAATATTTTTTATTAAATTATCTCTTTCTCAATTGATAGAAAAGTTACATAGGAGATGCCAGGTGCCGGTGCGGGACTTCTCAATTACGCTGTATGTGACTGTCCAAAGGAAAAGGGCTCTTATGCAAAGGAGGCTAAATTTTCTATGAAGCAATTTTCCTATCAGGTCAAGAAACGAAAAATGTCGTTAATCTTAGACTGTAAAAATTGTATTTTACAGGGTGTCTAGCATCAGGATTTTCCAGATTCCATCAGAATTTGAGGTCAATCAGGATTTAATCTCGACTTCATTAGAATATGAGGAAAAATTGGTCGTGAAATCAGGATTTGAGAAACGTGTGTGTTTTTAATCCCTAAAACTAAAGTCTAGAGTTCTGCTTTTGCATACGCTTTTGCAGAAATTTTAATTTTCTTTTCAAAAATTCAGGATTTGATTAGGATTTGTAAAAATTATGAAATCAAGATTTAGCAGTTAAAAATCAGGAATAATCAAGATTTCCCAAAATGAAAAAACTAGACACCCTGTTTAAGATTTCTCACACAATGTGATTTAAATGATATCATGCTATTGTTCAAATTGCTATTTCCACCATTTGTTTGCAATAAAATGCAAGAAACCGTGAAAAATTAGTATAATCAGTCATCAGTAGTAAAAATACCAATCATTTATTCTATGAAATATCAAAAGTACACAGTATTAGCAGCTCTAGCGGTGCTCATACCCTGGTGCTGCTATTCCAGCCGTTTTTAATGCCAGTTGAACTGATTCTCCTTGTTACCATTGAGAGAGCATGCTGTGGTAGATGCGCACTAGGGTGCGGCTTATTTGTATGCTAAAAAAAAGTTGGAAAAGTTCAGCTCCCCGGTTTCCAATAGGTGCTAATACATTAAAAAAAATTCCTGTAAAGTTTCAGACCGATCGGAGCATTTTTAGAACCTCCGCCAGGGACGTTTTTACTAAAAAATCGATTTTTTTACTTTTGCCTCTAAGTAGCTCGCCCTGTGATCAAAAATGGCCTCTTTTCTGAAAGAAAAACGCGTCGTAGCGAAAAATGCTTATTTTATAAACGAAAGTCCGTGAAATTTTACACAAGAATCATATTAGATATGACGACAAATTTTGAAAAAATCACAAATAAAATTCATCCATCGGGACATATCTTCTCCAAGCTCAAAATGTTGTGCCTACACTCCGATAGTATATGCAAAAAAAAACCTATGAGAAGATTCAATTATTCGGCGACTATGAATAAAAAAGAACAAAGCATTTGAGAACAGGTCCAATGTGAATAAGGAAAAAGCGTAGCGCGTGTCCGTCTTCTTATCTGTACCTGCCGACTCAGGGGCTATCTCCCTCCCGCTCTCGTCCGGTTGACGTTCCGACTTTCCTGTTCTTATGCTCCTCAAGAATCTGATTTGAATGGTCGAGCAAAACGGCGTGCGGAATCCGAGATAAGACTGCCTCTCGGTACGGGAGTCCCCATGATTTCCCTGTTGACACACAGCTACTTGTCAATCGAGCACTGAAATGAGGAATCTTTCTGGCTTTTTATCACCGAATAATGGAATCTTCTCATAGGTTTTTTGCGAAAACGGTGCATCGTAGAAAGTTGGCGCAATTATAACTTTTGATCAGCATCTTGAGAAGAATCGAGTGACATAAGTCAGAAGGCAATTCTTCATGGTGCAGCTTCCCATAAGAGGTGTGCGGGGTCCTTTTCTTAATTTTTTCTTTTTCATGGAAGTAAGTCCAAAAATACCACCCATTACTTTCCTTGTAGCGCTTTAAGTAATAGAACCTGTTTTTACTACGAAGAGGGCCCTCATAGAGAAAATATGGATACAAAAATTTAAAATGCCCAGAACACTGACCAATAAAGTTTTTTACAGTTGAATAAACTGCAAGCTTTCAAAATGTTTTAAAAAAATTGCTACTACGGTTATAACGAAGTGTTAAAATGACAGACCTACATATTTCCTAGGAACCATCCGGAATTTTTAAACGTTAGATTAAGGCTCTTTTATTTAGCCACGGGCTGTCAAGAGGCATATTGCAGGGTTTTACCAATAAAGTTTTTTTATAAGCTTCCAAAATTTTGAAGAAAAAAAAAATATTTGCTACACAGTGGTCGCAAAGAAGGGAAATTATAACATACAAAAATTCAGCTACATCAAGTATTCATTTACGATTGAAAAAATTGGAATATAAATAATTGACCAAAACATCGGAAATGTGGAATAAAAAAGCAAACACATTAATTACACAAAGCTTTTTTTGGCAGCCGATGAATATTTGGCTCTGTGCTGTTGTACAACTTGTAACAAATATTGCTGTTGTTCCTCTTTATTAGTGATTCTTCGATTATGTTTGGTTATCAAAGCGACCCCTCGCTCGGCGTAGTCATTAGTGACCCGCAAACTTTTAACAACTTTTCTACATTGTTGAAAAGACTCGTTTTCGTCCCATTTCGAAAGATGGTGACTTATGAATTCATGCGGAATGTCTGAAATTTTAAAGAAATTGACTGTATTAGCCGTGAGAAATTTATGGAGAGTTAATTTTTTTAAATTGTTATTTTCTAGGTTCACTTCTTTCCTCAACATACGAATCTCTAGAGCTTTCCTTTCTTAGGCTTTTACCATCTTAATTTTTGTTAGTGTGGAAACTTTCGTGTCAAAAATGGAAAAAGCGACAAGTTCTTCTGAGAGATACCATAAGTGATTGGTGAATTTTTTTGAAGTTGCCTCTAAAATATTCCTGTTTACTTTTTTGTAATTTACAAGACCAATCAAAAACTTTAAATCACTGTTAGGTGCCATGTCACCAACTGGAGCCTCAAACCAGTATTTCACATAAAGACGTACTATAAAAACACAAATTTGCGAGATTTGCTCTAGAAGATCAGTTGGATATTCCTCACGGAATATGTACATTTTACATTTACGGACATGGCTTTGGCCATCCATCTGGAATTTGAGACGGCTCCGGGTCTTCTGAAAAGCACTCCTCTGTCTGGTTTTTCTCCGCAAAAAATTAAAACTAGTTCTAAAAGCTCCTTATAATCGTCAAGCGGATTGTATTCCTAGAAACAAGCGACAGAAAGCAAACCAAATCAATTAGTTCTCATAAATAAGGAGTTGTTTTGCCATTGTTTTGTTTTGAGTTTTCTTCCTTTTAGTTTGCGCACGTAGTTGTACTGATAATCCTCATACTGATCTTCCTCTTTTGTCAAAGTTGCCCATCAATCAGTTTCAGAATAACTTTTCAAAATGAACGTCATTGAACATGCACCTTCCTCTTTTGTCAAAGTTGCCCATCAATCAGTTTCAGAATAACTTTTCAAAATGAACGTCATTGAACATGCACTTATTTAAGTATCATGAGGTTTAGTAGCAAAGTTTGGTAAGATTAAATTTCAGAACGAATTTCATTATTTTTTTTTTCTTTAAATATTAGGTGCATCAGAACAGTTCCATGAAAAAATCATGGAAAAAAATCCAATTTTCCTCTTGATTGAAAACGAAGAAATGAAGGGAGTCAAATTTGAGCGATAATAATAGGAAGACTTACCGAGAACTGTTTGCGGCGGGCAAAAAGTAATTGCGTTTTGTCTGGTGGAGCCCAAAGCTTTTAGCGTGCCTGGATCTTCAAGCGCAGTTTTGTAGTTGGACTGATCAATATGGTCCCATTGTCCGCGGAATTCAGTGAAAAGATTATGCTCCGGCTGGTTGGTGGGCCCAATGGAGCAGGTGATTGCGCTTTCTAGGATGAGTTCGGGTATATGGTGCCGGCAGGCCAAGTTCAGGAGAGGTCTAGTCATAAGCCGCTCTAGAGTTCAGTTAGCCATTTTTACCCTGGCTAATGGTCACCCTTTTGGAAATTAACAGCCCAGTCCTGCTTCTTCATGGTTTCTCAGATTTGTGCGGCTGTTTTGCAACTTGGCACGTAAAATTTGGCATTAATATCTATAAATGTGTTGAAAATAGAAAGTCATGGAGACCCAATTTTAGTCAGCCATTGTACCGCCGGACTTGGCTGCCATCTTGGAAAAAAACGATCTGCCCTGTTCCCTCGAGGTTTGTCGGATTGTCGTGGGTGTTTAGCAGCTAGGCGTGTGAAAGTTAGCAGGTACATCCACATTTAAGTTGGGAATAAAAAATTGTTAAGACCCTAGTTCCACTGGCCCTTTACTACCGGCCGTCATTTAGTCATAAGTGTCATTTTTGAAATAGTGGACCATTTACCTCGTGTCAGGTGACCGGCCCCATCTCTGCATGATTCTCAGATTTTTGCAGCCAAGTTGCAACCAGAATAATGAAATTTGACCGAAGTGTGCCTGTGCATGGATGTGTCCATACATGTGAAACATGGCATGCAAAAATAGCATATGGAGGAAGAAATGTCACATTTTCAGGTAGTACTTTTCCTCAAGCACTGGGCCAGAATATTGTAAAATAATGATGAAATCATGTATCAGTGATAACAAATTTGGAATTTTGAGTTAAGAATAGCTGTATGCCCCCAAACCGACCCTTGAATTGCGAAGTTTGGCATTTTTATACCTCATTAGCTCATTGCCTAAGAAAATATTTCAAAGCATCAGAAGATCGAGATTTATGAATGTTACAGGACTAGTCTCATATGACGCTCACTGCATCAACTTTAAAAAACCATTACTCTGTTTCAAATAGTTTCTTTAGGGTGGACTTAAAGCTTTTAAAAAGCTCAAATTGTACACTTTTATGAACAGAGAGTAGTTT